TTTCAAACTGTCTCCTTCATGTAACAGTAGCTGGTACTTCCCACAGGAGCAGCACCAGGAGCCACTCACCTCTGCAGGCGGATCTGGTACCCCGTGCTCTTGCCACTGCCACAGGCCTCTGCCCTCTCAGCAGCCACCCTCTCAGCCACCTGAGGAAAACAAAGCAAACTCTCAAAAATCCCACAGGCTGATCTGTGATTGAGCTACTCATCAGCAAGAAATACCTGGAACCGAGAAGTTCTGTAAATAACAAAGAAACGCCCTGAAAACCACTTTTTCTCCTCCCCTGAGAACAGTGTTTCCTGTCAGCAACCCAGGGCAGGTTTGTGTCCTAGGACAGACTTGAGAGGAACAGAACCACACTCCCCTTCAGCAGGGTGCACTTTCCCTCAGGGTAAAGCAAGGGTCTCTCATCACTTGACACTGAACTAGCAAGAAGAGTAATTACTGAGCACTTGAGAGCCAAACTCTTTCCTATCTTAATCCACCTCTAGAGGGCCTGACACAGCACTAGTTTTTATCGTAATTCACATTTGCACTGCAAAATCCATTAAAATCCCAGATATAACCCATGGCTAAACTCGGAGAACGAGCCTGCAGTGCCAGTACTCAAACCCCAACCACCACTTGTGAAATATCAAATCAGTGCACAGGAACAAAACCGTGGCTTGTAACAGAACCTCAGGTAACTGAGAAGGAGCACACAGAAAGCTCAGAGTCACAGGGATAACCCCCCAGGAAGCGAGTTTGCCGAGGGCACTCACGGAGATGGCACTGATCCTCCTGGGCTGGGTGCAGACGATGCGGCACGTGGAGCCCCTCCCGCGCTCGATGTGGTCGTCCAGGATGAACTGGGTCACCTGGGTCGTCTTCCCACAGCCCGTCTCCCCACTGATCACAGTCACACGGTTGTTGTTGATCAGGTTCACGAGCTCCTGGTTCCACAGAGAACACGGGCACTGAGTTATTGTTCAAATCAGATTTTAGAGGGTTTTGACCATTCTCTGCTACCATGCAGTGACCCTTGAGCAGTCACAGCAGCTGAAGGAACACTGAGCTGTTTGTCACAACTCTGCAACTAAAGTTTAGTTTAAACCACACGGGAGGTGCTCATTTGCACTTTCCATGTGTAAGGTTTAAAGCACATCCAACCTGAGCACTGGCTTTAAATTTCATATGAAAACAACATGAAAGGACTTAAAAAAAAAACAAACCTAAAATACACTTTAAAGTTTTCTGCCTCCTGCTTGCCTCCTGTACGTCTCTGGGGACTAAAAACCACCATTTACCCCGTTGGCCTCCAAGACTGCATGAACTGAAGGTTTTTAGCACAGTATTTTAACATTTCTTGGACCACCAGAAACAGCTTCCCAGCCCCTACCTCCCAAACCCAAGGATTGTCAAGGGCATTATGACAATTTCAGGAAACAAACACTAACAGAAAGGACATGATGGCAAATAGATGAATTTCAGGACAAAGCTCACTAATCATTCACTGAACCTGCAAAAGCAAACCTATCACAATACTCACTTTCTACTTCACACAAGGGGCACCAAATGAAGAATAAACACCAATTAATAACAGCCTTTACTGTCACTGATGTTATCCTGTGACTGGGAAACTAATGGCAGTCAGAGCCAGCAGTACAGCCACTATTTTACAACACAGCAGCAGAAACACGTATCTCCGTAGTTAAACACACACCTACCTCTCTCATGCCATAGGAGGGGAGTTTCTCTCGAAACCTCTGGGGAATAGAAAATAAAAGTATCTTTAAACACCTCTTTAACTGAAGCAACGTAACAGATTCCATCTATAATCCAGGCTAAACTGCGAAATAATGACAAACTCCTCAGCAATACTTATATAAACCCAGACCCAAGGGGAATAACTTTATTTCCATGTGTGTTTTCAGTTTCATTAAATTCAGCAAAATTATCTAAACCCAGTAGTTCAGCACATGCTGAGGAAGGCACACACAGCTGCAAGAGCAGGGATGTTAAAGTAACATAAACTCTGTTTCTAAGGAGCGATTCCTTCAGAGCCCATTGCTGTGCTTTCAGTTTTAGACATAAGTGCAGGGACACAACCCATAAAAAGAAAGAAAACTCCGCCCAATAAAACAATGTGTCATCTTTGAATTATAGATTCTAATTGTCCCTGAAATTGGTAATTTCACATTTTTAATCACTGTCTTATCAATAGGCACTTATAAAATTCTGAAGGCAATTTTTAACAAAAGTAACATCATGACAACTTCCTAGTAAATAAACTGCAAACAGGTACATTTGCAGGTCAGTTTAACTGAAAAAAAAATCCAACAAAAAGTACCTGCATTTCAATATATCTGGGATCAGATCTCTTCTTCCTTAAGTCTTCTTTAAGCTGCTCATCTAAATCAGTATCCTGCTCATTTTTTTCAAAGAGATATTCCACATCCCGATCCAGGGATGTTTTTTCCAAGGCCGGTCTCCGTCTTACAGGAGCCTTTTCAGCATCTGGTTTCACCTTCACAGGCTGCTCTGTAGGGCTGGAATCAGAGAACAGAAACCTCAGAGGTGATCCCAGCTAAGCCTGGCCACGTGCAGGGAGCCACTACAGGAACACATGAACTTGAGGTTGAGACGTTTTGTCCATCAGTCAATGAACCACCAGCCCGTAGGAATACAGAATCATGGAATGGTTGGGGGTGGAAGGACCTTAAGGTCCATCCAGCCCCACCCCTGCCGTGGGCAGGGACACCTCCCACTAGCCCAGGTTGCTCCAAGCCCCTTCCAACCTGGCCTGGGACACTCCCAGGGCTGGGGCAGCCACAGTTTCTCTTGCAGCCTGTCATTATGGTGCATGCCCTGGAACTAATAAAGTCTGAAGTTATGAGCCACCAAAAACTTTACATCGGTATCTAGAAAAGTAACATGTTCTTTTGTACCAAATTAAGCGACCAAGCAACAAAACATTTTCAGAAAATTACTGCTTGACCCAGTGCCCTGTAACTGTAACTGGTTCCTCCATGCCCTCATTTCAGCACACCTGCCCAGTTCTCCATCACCTGAAATCCTCAGCGAATTCAGAACATACTTTGCTCCACAGAGGGGGACAAAAGACTCCCAAACTGCACAATAACTGAAAACACAAGTCAAATGCCATCTCTGGAAGAGTAACTCCAGAGACCAGGGAAGCTTAAAAGTCCCACATATGCACCCTAAGTAGGGCCTGAGATCAGTTACAAGATGTTATGATTTTAAGTAGAAATGTTACACCCGAAGCTCAGCAATGATGGAAGAGAGTTTTACAGCAATGACTGCAACCATTTCAGTGTGACAACACAGGTGGACAAACCTAAGGATATCTGTTAAGTCAACTGACTCACTAAAGGTAAATTCCAGTACATCTTCCTGCCAGTCTGTGGGAAGTTTAAAAGAACCAGTGCCTCTTTACCTTTCCTCATCCCCGGACCACCAGGACATGGATTCTTGCTCTTTGTCGTTCTTAGCCTGGACGGAATTCAGGAGCTGCACGATCTGCTCTTCCCTGCGCTCGTCCATGCGCACGACGGCTCTCTGCGGGAACAGCACAGCCTGTCCGGAG